TCATTTTTTAGTTTTTATTCTTTATCCAAATATCATGCCTTTTTCAAAGCTAACTTCTTCACATTTTCCAAGGTTACTGGAAAAAGTGTAACTTCTGCCACTCACTTTTCCAAAGTTGCCTATACTTGCAAAAGTTACTGAGAAGCAAAAGGTATCTGAGACAGTTTTAAAAGGCAGGTCTGAAAAGTCACATCATTATTCAATTAACTGTTCTGTGGGGGAAAAAATAAGAGCCTTAGGGAAACTGTTTCTAGATTTTTTTTTAAGGATATGTGAGGCCTAATGCAAAAAGTCAAAGTTTGTCAGAGAGTAGCTTTGCCCTTTTTCAACCAAGTCGCCCACCAGACTTACATAAGCTAACCACTGCCTAACAAGGGTGAGATGCTTAGAAAGGAAAATGACCAGTTGGGGTATAGTACAAAGCAACAACTCTGTTATTATTTGGAGATCTTCATGTAACTGTTCTTGTGATAACTTTCTTAATGCTGCCCAGCTTATTAATCATGATTAGGCGTGCATCCCTGGACCAACAGACCCTTATCTTCCTGAAAACGCTTATGACCTTTCCAGCCATAAAAGGCCTGGAGGACTGAAGAGCCATGTGACTGCGAGGGCAGCTTGACTATTCAGCACTAAATCCAGTAAATAATGAAAGTGTCCTGTCTTTAAAGTTAAAACTTAAAAACAGAGGCTAGATATCTAACGTGAGAAATCTTAATGAGGCCGATTTCAAAAAACACACCCTGTTCTGAAAATCAGTCCCCGCAAAAGTTGGTCAATCACAATATAGAAGCACTTCAAGACACATTTAAAACACCTCGATCAGCATGTGCATAGTTGCAAATCATTAAAACACCTCTTACAGCCAATTGGCACAACCAAATGACACAAGCAGTGAAAGATATAGATCTTAGTTATTTGTTATTGAGGCTGGCTGGCAATAGGACAGAAGGAGCTGGGATGAACAACACTGGGATCTGAGGAACTGTCTTCAGGCATAGTGTGATTCTTCTTCTCTGACACATCCAAACTTGTCTTCAGACAGTGAAAAGCATTTATGACTAGCCTTTTCTCTCCAATAGATAAGAATACTTTGCTCTTTGCTGCTATTGCTTTGTATTAGAGTAGTGTCTAGGAAGGAAGGTTTCCTTTTGCATAAACAAAAGGAAGAATCTCTTTGTTTAAGACAGTTATGACAGTTTAAGACCTTGCTCTTGCATTGGGATACACACAGAATAAATGGCATAACTGTGAAAAAGGTACTGTAAGATGCAGTTTCAAACTGAATGCAGTGAGACTGATGATAGGAGATCATGAAGATGGGAGGAAGCAGATAGTAGTAGGAAAATGTAATTATTAAGTCAATTCAACCTCATTTGATTATTTCTAGCATCTAAAATTTTTCTGGAGTGTAACTAAATAAATACATACCACATATCCTCTGCAGCTGCCTACCATCTTTTAATTGGCAGTTTTCTATAGATACAGAGGCTGGGAAAAGTCTAAAGGAGGGATTTTAAAAACATTAGTGAAACAGGTTATTTGACCATTTCAGGGAGAAAATTCCTTTTGTATAGCATATATAGGTCACAAAACTCTTTAACGTATATAAAGGAATTCTTGTTAATATCAGTCCTTGAGAAAGAGGCAGTAATATATTTTTTTTCTTTCACTTATGGGCTAATGAAGAGAAAAAGAAAGAATTTAAGAACACCAAGAACTTTAAGAAGTTCACAAAGTGCTACAGCATAGCGCAGGTGGAAGCACAACCTAGAGATCCCATCCAAAAGCCAGTGATTTCAGGACTTGACAAACTTCCCCCCCAGTGAAAGATTCTGAGCAAGGTCATAGAATTTGGCAGAAGAACATTCTCAACAGTCCATAAGCAAAAGACAATGGGATGAGAAAAACAATCTTATAATTCATGAGAAAAACAGTGCCTTGTTGAGGGACATGCTTGTGTCAGAATGAAAATGGCACAAATACAAGCTGAAGAGTCAAATGGGGAAAGCATTTCCAATGTAGAAAGTGAACTCCTCAAAGGAGTATTTGTAACAAGAAGCTATGCAAGCTGCCTTGGAGTCCACAGACAACTACCTGTCATAAGCAGAAGCAGAATAACTACAAGCAATCTTAAAAATATTAATACTAAGAAAAAAGTTCATTCACAATATGAACACTCATGAGACAGCCTTTCCCATTGCCTCAGAGCTAGAACTGGCCTGTTATACAGCAACAACTGTCATTTGGATTACAGATGGCAAATAACTGACAGAAACAGGCTTCAGGCATGTTTTTTCATCTTTACCATGCAGTCTTACACTAATTTAATTTAGTGTTTACATTTGCTTTTCACTTTACAATATGACGCTGTAGATAGCTGCACTATCACACACAGTCTGAACTCTCATATGCCATATATGAGATTATTCTCTTTTTCTCTCGCAACTAGATGTTCAAAACATAGCATTCTGAACCTGAACAAAATGAAAAACTTGAGTTTAATATGTCTATAGGAAAAGACACCTCCTGTGGAGATTATTATCTGGCATCCCATTTAATATAACAACAGTAGCACTATTGCTCCTGAGGAGATCATTATCCTGTTTTGTTATATTTGAAGGTAGCACCTTATTCAAATCAACACCAATGTGTCCCTTCATGATTGTTTTGAACAAATGTTATTATCCAGACAAAGTGATTCTTTTCCACTGTCAAAATGGTAAGTACATTTAACATAATCAGTCAAGTGCCTCTGTCCATGGTAGTAGCATTTTTAAGAACTGCTTATAATCAGGAGATGCTGATACAGTAATTTAGAAATCAGAAAATAATTAAAAACAACAAATGGATACATATTACCTTTCAGAATTATTCAAGGCATAAACATAAAGCACCACTTATTCTCTTAGGAAGTTAATGGGAAGTCCTCCAAGGACTTTGGATAGTCTTTGGCTCGTGTTCCTACCTGCGAACAGGGAATCAGGACAGATTTCTTTTCAGGCCCAAGAGGGCTGAAATTTTTGGCATTAGCTCCAGTGCCTTGTCACTTCCACTCATGGGCAGCAAAGTCAATATTTTAGAGGGTAATTTGTTTGTTTAAAAAGAAATAAAGCCCATCATAAACTGTTGTGGAACATTATAAAAATAGGGAATATTTCTGAACTATAAAGATTGCCTATTTGGATCATGTTCCTGGTAATCTCTACTCCGTTTCCCCTCCAAGGAATAAATTTGATCCTGCAACTTTTATTCATATGAAAGTTACATGTGCAAATGTGCACTTAAGTCAAGCCAACCTAACTCTTATGGGTCAGACTGTAAGCCCTTTATTCATATTGCAAAACAGTTGCACAAGTCTTTCAGATGACAAAAAATGCGCCAGTTTACATAACTGCTCATCAGTGTGAATAATGACAATACTGAGACCATAAATTGGAACAGGGAGGAGACTTGCTAGCATTGGGTAATTTGGTAAGTATTTTCAAATGAAAGTACAGCAAAATAAAAATATCTGGCATTGTGAAAGCTGAACTTGATGTTGCTGAGTTATTTTCAGCCAGAGCAAGTAGATGCAATTTGATGCTACTTAGTGTACTGTAGAAAATATTTACTTTCTATTTTTCGATCTTTTATTTTGGAAGGCTATACAATCTGACATGTAAACCACCAGTCAATCTTTGGCACTTTTAGCTGTACAGATGTCCTTTATTCTACCTGTCTCTCTTCATCTGCGTTTCCATTGTTCAGAAACAGTGTTATCCCAATGTTTCAAATAATAAAACCATGCAGTTGATTAGAATCACAAACACATACAAAAATTTAGTTTCTGTCTTTGTTTTTTCTGTTATCCAATAGTGGTCTTACCCTACAAATAAACCTGATATTTTGTTCTTAAAACTGTCAGCTAACATCTTAAACAACATATGGAAATCATAAGTATTCTGCAAAGACTGCAGGAAAGAGAAAGGCAGAGAGAAAGAGAGAAACAGTAAAATTCAATCATCTCCAGTAATTTTTTAATGTAATCAATGGATTTGCAGATGATTCATTAAAAAAAATAATGATATGTTTAATCACTAAATGATATCTATTTGTAATGATGAAGTGATTTTCTTGTCATCTAAAGGCCAGAGAGATAGCTAAGACACATAAAACATAAGGTGTGTAGCTACCTGGTTTCTTCCATCTTTCCTGGGTTTTGGAAATACAAGTTTTTTAGAGATAATGAAGCTGCCAGTTGGTGAGAAGACCTATTATTTACCCATTCTCGTGCTACTGACTAATAATAAAGTATTAAGGTCTGAAAACACTGACAGCTGTATACCATCATAATTTTCACAGGGTTTGGTTCAATTACAATTACTAACCATTGGGATGCTCAAACTCTAAGCTTGATGTCTGTGTTTTAAAACCATTTAATGTGTTTTGCACACCTATATATCAACTGAAAGATTTCAAAGGAGTAACTTTTACTGATAAGTAGTAGGCTAAAATGTACAAGAAAAAAACCCAAAGCCAAAACCATTGCCAGCGTGATGTTACTACACTGGGTGTTTTCTTGGGTATAGCATTTCTCTAGCAGGATCTAATTTTTACAGAGCTTACAGAAATCCAGTTAGAAGAGGCATTTTAAAGAAAAATCCATCTTACTGCAAGACTTTTCCAGGCAAAAATCTCTAACTGCAACCTAAAGTAGGAAATAAGTCACTATATAAGTCATCATTTGGTTTCCCTCCTTATGCCTTGCTTTGTTCTTCTTTTCCTATACATCCATAATAGTTCATCTTGTGAACTCTAGTGTCTCAAAGCATTTTTAAACCAGTGAACAAAGGGAATAAATTCAGGAAGAATGAAGGAGGGAAAAAGAAATCTCTGACCTGGTATTACCAAAAATAAACAAACAAAAAAAAGACACTAAGATGAAAACAAAATAGTGCCATGGATTTACATATGGGGTTTTGATGGAAACTAGGGCTGGGTTTTAAATCAAAACTCACCATCTCAAAACCACTTCTTTTCATCCGCCTGCAGGACTTGAGGTAAGTACGTATGCGTTTTCTGGCACGCTCTTGATACTCAGGGAATTGTCGCCTGCATGAGTCAATGATAGCCTGGATCTTTTCTTTGGGCTGCTTAGAGATTGGGACCATTCGGTCCAAGTTTTCATCTACAAACAGCCTGACAAACATCTGTTGGCAAGAGGGAGACAGAGGAGATGGGTTTGGAGGGCAGCTCTCTTCTCTTCCTAGCTTCCTGTCTTGATTACTGATAGGAAGACATTTTTTCTATCCACTGAAGAGCTTTGTAATGGGAAGCCAGAAATATTAATCAAACAGTTCTTTAAAGGGTTATTTGGGGGGGGCTGATTAAAAAAAAAAAGACAAGAAAAGAATAGTCTATAGGATACAGAACTTGTGAGATAAATCAGAACAGATTGTGAAAATAGGCACTACTTAAGTTTCATTATTAACAATAAGCTGTGATTGCTAATCATTTTATTGAACTGACTCTCACTTTTTCTTTGTTTGAACAATTGCTTGTGTTTTCATGCATAATTACATACATTGGGAAAGCAATAGAGAACAGCTGACCACCGGAATGGTCTTCTGATAAACTAGCTACAGCCCCTTTCCATTCAATGGGTGAACTTGCACATACACACATCCACATCCACACACACAGGCGCACACACACACATACAGAACAAAGCTTTGTTTTCCTCACTGGTAAAGATGGCACTCTGCCTTAAAATTCTAAATAAAACACAGTAAATCTGTCGTCTGTTGGCAAGAGTTTAATGTGCATTAAAATAATAATTGAAATAAATCCTGCAAATTAAATTAAATGTGCCTTTAATATTGTCAAACTTACCCATAAATAACAATGTAAAAGGAACAGTAGAAGTAAACAAGACAATGAGTGTAAAAGGACTTACGTTAAAAGCTTTCAGTCGCTCAGCTTCTACCCCATCTGATTCATTAACCTTCTCAGGATCTTCCTGCTCATCATGGTCATCCTCATCCTCATCTCCTCGATTCAGAGACAGATCTTCAGCACCTCTGCCTACACTCTCATTCTTGCCAGAGTCATAGCTTGAATAGCTATGGGCAGGGGACTGAAAATAGACAAAAAGAATATGTTTGTAAAAATTCACCATAGAAATAAGGTCTACTCATCAAAAATGCTTTAAAAATATTTAAAGAATTCCATGATTTCTTTTTATTCTTTGTTCAACATAAAGTGCTCATGATCCTTGTAAGAGTGAACAATTCACAATAACATTCATTTCAGTACTTTAAAAAAATGTGACCAGCTGCAAATTCAGTAAATCAATTAACAAACCATTGTTAAAACCTATGATAATAACAGTTAACATGAGTTCTTTGCCATACAGCCTTGTTTGAGTACTACGTACAGAAGTTTCTTACAAATACCAACATCTTTGTATTAACCAAGATGTAAATAAGGGGCAGTCAATTTGCACAAAACTCTAAAGGATTAAAATTTACACATTTTAAGGCAAAGAGGATTTAAGCAGGAAACATTGATATTCATCTAATCAATATGAAATATTATCAAGAGCTGCAATGAGTTATTCATAACATGGAGATGATTATGTTCTAGTTTAACTTGGAAAACCTCAGAATGAATTAGAGATGGGTAGGTTTGTTAACATTTTGAATGCTTTTCTGAGACTCATATAGTAAAACCATTTTCTCTTTGCATATCAGCATTCAGAACTTTCCCCTGAGCCAAAATTCAGCTTACTGGGTAAAACAGATGACCATCTCATTGAAGTGTTTCCACTTGTAGGACCAAAAAGTTTTCAGTTACCAAAAGTCAATACTGTGCATTTTTCCTTCCAATATCAAGACTTCAGTTACTTGTTTCCTCTGCATACACTTCAAAATGCAGACCACAAAAAGACATCAGCAATAAAAAGAAAGCCTTCTACAACTTAACACTTCAAATCAAAGCTTTCCCCCAGTCACACAAAAGTATCAAAGAGTATCTTCACCAGAGCCGTCAGATTCACATTTATGTAATTCAGTGCACAATTTTACTTCCATAATATTTCAATCCTGTAATATTTTAACATTTTCCTCTCTTGCTTTAAAGCATACTGTAGTCTATTAACTTCAGAGAGTCCTGAATCAGATGCTACATGATGAACTTCGCATACATGCTTTTTTTAGGTGCCTCCTGCTTAAATGTCACCGAAAGTCAGGAGCATACTACCTCAATGAAAAACACATTTCAAATAATTAAAATCACATGCCTTGATCTACATTCTGAGCTTCCTAAAATTGTCTTTATTTCAGGGTGTTTTCACCAATCACAGAATGTAGTTGGGCAGTGAGGTAGGAGGGAAAGACCAACAAAACCATTCATCTTTAAGGTATACTTCTTGCTTTATAGTCTTACTCCATCTTTCCCTATTTTCATTTCCATTTTGCATTGGTCCTCTGTACACCATCAGTTTTGGAGTCACTCCCATACATTTCCTTGCCTTGCCTTACCAACACTCATACTCCAAGCCTTCCTTTTTCATCTATCCTCCCCAGACTATATTCTCACAGTAGAAGTCCCCTGGAGTTCCACCTTTTAATCCCTAATGCTCCTAACGTCAGATCTTGCAGCCTCTCTCATCCCCTTCCTTGAGTATCTCCACTCTCTACATCACTCTCCATTCCCTAGACCCTTATAGCAGACATAGGGAGAATGAGAAAACACCAAAAGAGGACAGAAGAGCCAGCCTCTGGATACAAACACCTTCACAGAATCATAGAATCGTTAGGTTGGAAAAGACCCTTAAGATCATCCAGTCCAACCAT